CAAATGTAGGGTCCCCACGCACACGCTTCAGGCTGGGTAGTAATTCTGTAATTCTGAGCTAACTGGAAATGCGTGGTGCTGGCTGAGCTATGGTATCTTGAGAGCTTGCTTCAGAACACACTTTGCAGATGTGGGAGTGAAAGAAGCCTTCGGATCAGTTTGAAGTAGTTTATTTCCCTTCCTGCTGGACTTTGCAGGCAGTGCTCTCCTTGCAGTTTGTGTTGTGCACAGCCTAGATGTGGGATGACTGCATGCACAGAATGAATGTGTTAGTGGAATGGTATCTATTAAAGTGTTGCTCTAATACATACACTTAAGATTAATTCAGAGACAAGGAAATCACTTTCCATTCTTTTTTTTTGATGAAACTATCAAGCTATCCAGAATTATATTATACGTATAAAAAGAAAAACGGAATGTAAGAATCTTTGTGCTGCTTTTGGTAAAGTGCCCCCTTAATCTCAGAGGATAGTAATGCTGTGTAATTGTGCAAAGTAGGTTACTAAAGGCTTGTTGGAGTTAAGCAAATGAAGCAGTTCGCAATCTAAAACTAGGAAAAGAATCTCCTTAACGGATGGATGCAGCCAAAGATGCCTGCTTTACTCAAGTGGGTTGAATTCTTTATTAGCTCTTGGAAATGGTTTCCTAAGGGAGTTACAAACTTTTTGTACTGCACAGAAGCACTACATGTTCTGAAACTTGAAGCCATTTGATTTTATACTCACATGGAAGAGAATATCTCTTCTTATGCTCTCCCTCATTCACTTGTTCCTTGTGCTGAGAATTATTTATTTTAGTTTGTGCTTACTTTTAAAACATTGTGCTAATGTTCTGTATATTTTAATTGCTGGCATAGGAAACTGTTGTTCTGGTTTGCTTATATTTTGTAGTGGAGAAGCTAAAATTATTACTTTGTCACCTTTATACACTGTTTACTCGATGTATAAATAGCTACACTAATTGATTATTGCTTGCTTTGTTTTTTCTAACTCCTCTAAGCACTGAGTTACATGATTTTCTGTTTTACTTGTGCGTCTGTTAAAACAGCAGCATCTGAAATACAGCCCAGAGAACAGATCCCACTTGCAAAATCACTTGTTCAATGAGTGACTGGCTCTGTGCTGTCCTTTTGCCTGGGGATCGAGGACGGACCGCTTGATCCCCCTCATTCTGCATGAGTTACTTTGTCAGCCTGACACCTGCTGCTGTGTTCTGATGGTTCTGCGTCCGTTACCAGAACGACATGGATCATTAAAACAAAATGCAGGCATACCTGGGGGTGGAATGGGAGCTGTTTCTGTCTTGTGGCCTTGACCTAATGTGTGCTTATCTGTCAAAAAGAGTAGCTGCGTTTTGCTCGTACCTTTCAGCAGCAAACACCAGTGTCTTCAAAACTTTTGCAAACCACATGTATAATGCCATTTCAGTAGAAAGTCATGATGTGCTCTGAAGATTTTTTCCTACTGAGTGGAAAACTTGTTTAAAATGGTATAAAGTTGGAGAACAGACTTGTCCTCCTTCAACCTGCATTCCAGTCACTGCTCCCTATCCGAGACACATTAGCTTTCATCAGGGTTGTAGGCAGGTGCTGTGTGAGTATCCCAGTAGCACTGTGCAGCAGTGAGTACTGCGCTGAACCAGTCTGATTCTTTTAGAAGCTGTTATGAATCTTCAGACTTGTGGGGGTTTTCTTGTTGCTTTGCTTTGTTCTTAAATTCTGATTAGAACATGGTGATGTTAGGTGTAAAGAGGCTTAAAAAAGCAAGTTAGCATCAGATTATTGTAGGAAAGATTCAAGCAGATCAGAATTATGTTAGGCTTACTTTTGCATTTTCCTTTTTAGTCCTTCTGGAAAGCTTGTTCAGATTGAATATGCTTTGGCTGCAGTGGCTGCAGGAGCTCCCTCGGTTGGGATTAAAGGTATGTTCAGAAAATAACTACTTTGGTGAAGGATTCAGGATACTGAGTATCATTTGAGAGAACTAAAATAGTTTGGACTATGTACTGGGTCTTTCTTCATCTTGCCTGCCATTACATATTTTGTTTTTCTTTCAGTGGATTTTCACATGTTTCAGTGGGTTATTTTTTTTTTCTGCAACTCAGTAATTTTTTATAAAGACGGAAGAGGGGGAGTATAGAGCTCCCTGCTAGGAGAAGAAAATTGCTTGGTTGATTTTGGAGATGCTCAGCTGGTAGAAGCAGGCATCTTTTTTTTTTGAGTGTTCCTGTCTCTTAAGTAAATAACTCCAGCTCTGTGTCCATATATATAGAAATTACACAAAAAGTTACTTCAACTGCTCAATTATTAATATGTGCTTCAGATTCTTTAGAATGGGATTATGGGAGCTGTATGATTATTTAAAATGAGAAATGATGTGTTGGGGGTGGATTCATCAAAGTATCTCTATTTAATGTGATCATAAACTTGAAGGCTTTTCAAAAAAGGGAGGAGCAAAATTCTTTACAGTCCAATAAACTTGTTCTGTGTTTTGACTGCTTTCCATAATTTTAGTTTAATATTAAAAAAAAAAAAAATCTTGTTCCTTTCCAGCTGCAAATGGAGTGGTGTTGGCTACTGAGAAGAAGCAGAAATCCATTCTTTATGATGAAAGGAGTGTCCACAAAGTAGAACCAATTACCAAACATATAGGTTTAGTGTACAGCGGTATGGGTCCAGATTACAGGTATTTAAAAAACTTGTTTTATCGCTATTTAGACGCGTTTTCATGCAAGAAATGTAAGAAATGGAAACAGATAGCAATTAGCTGTTTCTTTCTAAGGGTACGGCATAATGTTATATTGTATTACACTGTATAGGAGATTCTCTTTAAGTTTTTTATAATTCAATGCCTTATCAAATAACCTTCTATCTAAAGAAAGAGTAGGGAATGAACTGCAGTGTAATTCAACTTTAGTTTCAGTTTAAGTATTTCGGAGATTACTCGGTTGATAAAGATAACCCAGCACAGTCTATGTTTTGACATTGGTATTATGCCAGATGTATAACTTCTTTGGATGGTATTTATTATGAGTTTTCAGTTCTAGTTGTAACAGCTAGTTGGAATTTCTTTGGCATATTAATTTTGTCTTTGTTTTTAGAGTACTTGTGCACAGAGCTCGGAAGCTGGCCCAGCAATATTACTTGGTTTATCACGAGCCCATTCCAACAGCTCAGCTAGTACAGAGAATTGCTTCTGTGATGCAGGAATACACGCAGTCTGGGTATGTGGTTTTCTGAATTTTTAAGTTGCTTAGAAAGATTATTTTGTTTAAATGTAAGGAATAACAACTACCTGGTGATTCAATTTTTTATGTCAAAAAGGCAGTTAGTTTTTCAATGGAGAATGTCCACAGAAGGCGTGCCAGGGGGAGGAGCACTAACTGGCAGCGCGTGAGGTAGGGTCTTCATATCTTGCAAACAAACATGTCGGACAAGGCAGCATACTTCTGGTTTTGTACTGTTCATTGACGAGTCATTCCTGATCACAGCTCTGGGCTGGTGGGAAGTGTTTGGGGGAAGGTTAACACATCCAGAATAATTTAGTCACCTTTGGTTTTCATTGAATAAATTTCACATATCAACTGTGATTTTTCAGGGTTTTTTTTTGTTTTTTGGGTTTTTTTTGCCTGTAGTGGTGTTCGTCCGTTTGGTGTATCGCTGCTAATATGTGGCTGGAATGAAGGGCGGCCCTATTTATTTCAGTCGGATCCGTCTGTAAGTATCTTATGTTTGTAAATTCTACTGCTTCTATAAAATGTCTAAAATTTTATATGTGCTCATAAATACTTTCTGTGATGAGAAGAATAACGTAGAGCTAGAACAAAAGATCCCTTAACATAACTTCAGAAGTCAGAATGAGCCATTTCAGTAGGTGCTTGGAGCAAGCCCGGATCATTCTGTGCCTGCATGTTCCTGTACTCCTTGAGGGATGGCAGCTGTTTTTGAGGGAGATCACCATCCCTTTCCATGCCTTCCCACCTAGTTGGTAGTGCCAGCAAGGGTGGCACTCTGCAGCAGCTACCAGAAAAAAAAGAATTTTTGACTGCTTATGCTGCTCAAATCACTGTTCCCTAAACTGGATGGAAGTTAGGCCAAAACCTGTTGCATTGTGAAATGTA